ATATATATATATATATATATATATATATATATATAAATATATATAATAAAAGGCTTAAACACTAATATTCCATGGTCATAATTTAATTTATTCCATTGGAATCGTAAATACGATCCAAATCATCAGACCTAAAACTGGATTCTTCCTCTTGGAATTTTTTTTCTAAAAATATACATGTATGGGTATTTATATATATTGCATATGTATGTATATTTTTCACTAATATTATCTATATATATATATATATATATATATATATATATATATATATATATATATATCGTAAGTATCTATAATATATATAATATACATACAGTGAGGGAGAGAAATATTTGTACACCATGATTTTTTTATGTAACATAGATTTTAGAAAAGAATGTTATAATCCATATAATATTTGTACGTCATGACATAATGCAGCAACATGCAAAAAAAAATTCAGAAAAATTTAATATGTTAATGAAATTATATGAAATTAAAAAAATTGGAGGCGAAAAAGTATTCGTACAAAATTATAATACCTATTTAATACTTTGTTGTATGTCCCGTACTCAATTCAACATCAATCACTTTCTTTTTGTTACTTTTAATCAATGATTTGTAACTTTCCATTGGTATTTTATTCCATTCTTTTTTTACATATTCTCTTTATTCCAGGATGTTTTTTGAGCTCTTTTATTAACTTGAATTTTTAATAAACGCCAAAAATTCTCTATTGGATTCAAGTCTGGAGGCTGGGATGGCCATTCGAGTGTATTGACATTGTTTTCAATAAGCCATTTTTTCGTAGTTTTAGTCGTATGTTTGTTGCAAAACCCATTCATTTGGGAGTTCAAGCTTTATACTGACCCAAAGAAATTAGAGTCCAAAACATCTTGGTATATTTATGAATTCATTCTACCATTTATTATCTCTAACTTACCCATACAATTAGCAGAAAAAAACATCCCCAAACAATGATGTTGCCACCATCAAATTTCGCCGTTAGGATTGTTTTCTTCTGTGCAAAGGTTGTGCCGTTTTTTTCTCCAAATGTGAATTCTTGAATTATGCTCAAATAGTTCAGTTTTTGCTTCATCTGTCCATAAAAAAACTTCAAAAATGATTCGGGTTTATTCTTATGCTCACGAACAAATTTTAACCGGGCATTCCTTTATTTCTTCGACAGTAGTGGAGTTTTTCTTCGAGAACGCAATCTTAGTTGACTTCTATGAAGATTCATGCTTATTTTACTTTTCGTAACAATAATACCTGAAGCTTTTAATTCTTCCTGTATTTCGCTCGAAGTAGTCATTGGATTTCCTTAAATTTTGCGCTGAATTCTCCTCGCTGATTTGGGAGAAATCTTGCGTAATGCACCAGATCTCCATTTGTTTTCAACAGTTTTCACCATTTATCCTTAGCAATAACAGAACTAATAATAGTAAATGGTGTATTCAGGATATCTGCTATTTTCTTATGGTTTTTGCCTTCCTACCAAAGTTTAATAATCATTTTTTTTACGAACTTGATAGTTCCTTGCCTTTTCCCAAGATGATAATTATTGTGTATGATTTGTGTGTGGCGATAACCTTATATATGAAATGAATTGTGGAATGTTGTAGATTGTTCCGGTAATAAAATAATTGAAAGAACCTAGCAAAATCTTACAAAGAATTATGTAAATAAAGATAATTTAAGTCTTTTGATATTAAAGACATATTTTGTACGAATACTTTTTTCGCCTAGAAATTTTATAAATAATTTCATTTAAAACAAAGTTTTCCAATTGTTTTTTGCATATTGCAGCATTATGCAACAGTGTAGAAATATTGTATGGACTTTAAGTTTTTTCATAAGTTATAACTATGTTAATTAAAAATTAAATGGTGTACGAATATTTATCCCTAACTGTGTATATATATATATATATATATATATATATATATATATATATATGATATACATATCTATATAGATTGTACGACGTTTTAGAGCCGCATTACGAATTTACGAGCTGCGTCTGCTATTCCGTGACCGTTATCGTCGTCGCAGCAAAACTTCTATTTAAACATAACAGGATGTCATCTTTGATGGTGAACATCTCTGTTGTAATGTCCATATAACCACTCTGATGATGATGACTCATGCGAGCCGAAAACTTAGATCAATGGACAATATTATAAAAAAATATCCAAATGCTGGACAGTTTTTGTGTTTATTTTCTTCCGAAACTTAAGCGACGATATGAAACTTAGAACGGCTCATGATCAAACAAGAAATATTCGTTGTCTTTTATATTTAACAATATATGTTTGTATATATATATATATATATATATATATATATAATTTTAATACTACTGTTTCTGGTCTGATTCACCTCTGACCATTAAATTTATATATATATAAAAAGTGAACATTGAAGTCAACACTTAGAGGTGACAGGCTGTTTCATGCTAGACGATTGCGTCTGACGATTGCGTCTAGCATGAAACAGCCTGTCACCTCTAAGTGTTGACTTCAATGTTCACTTTTATATTTACACACGCTTTATCTCTGATATTGAGCACTTTGTCCCATAAATATAGCACACCTTAAGAGTATATTTCTTTATATATATATATATATATATATATATATATATATATATATATATATATATATATATATATATATATAAACGCCGAAAAGAAAACGGTGACTCGTTTGTATTCCCGGTTCCTTTAATTGTTTTTTCTGATTATCCATTTTTTTTTAACGAAAAGCCAAATCATTCGATGAAAATTCCCAGGAAATAAATTAAGTTATATATCACAAATAGGGCAATAACTCGAAGCAGAAAAAAATGACGGAATTATTTACATATGAATCTGCACTTCTGCCTAGATTATTTGGGCATTCAAACAACTTTTTTTTCTAATAACCATCACTTAGTGGAACAGACTCTCGTGCGAATGCTTTCCATGGACACTACATTCTTAAACTCTTGAAGTTAAGGATTAATCGCTATCTATTACTCTTATCCTCATAATCTTCACTTCTATATGTGTGTGTGTGTGTTAATATTATGTAATGGACTAAGTCCGACAATTATTTAATATATTTGCTGTTTATACGTTATTATTATAGATACAAATATTTAAGTAAATGCTTTGTTTATAATAAACAGTATTAACAACATTTACCGGCCTGAATGCCCGAGAAATTTCATAGAAAATATGCGTCCTCCGAGAGGAATCGAACCTACGCGGAACCATCATATAGCCTTATATAGTTCGGTTCTTGTCGGAGGACACATATTTTCTATCAAATGTCTCGGACATTTAGGCTGGTAAATGTAGTTAATACTGTTTATTATAAACAGAACATTTACTTAGATATTTGTGTAGTGTATATATATATATATATATATATATATATATATATATATATATAACTAGACTCGTTTTTCGAAAAACACTCAATTTTTGATTTGCTAATAATCAAATCAATCTCGAGGGAAAAAGGTTTTAAAAAAAGAAAGAGCTACAAACATGAACTTCTGCCGATAAAAAATCGCACAGATGCAGGTCTGATGCCCAAAGAAAAAACCCTGATACGAGTAAACAACTATATATATATATATATATATATATATATATATATATATATATATATATATATATATATTATATACAAAAAAAGTGACAAAAGAAGAAATACAAAATTCAGTTCAAATTCAAAGCTAAAAAATGATAAAAGTAATCATTTGTTTAAACTTAATATTAATAGTTTTAGCAAACTCAGAGCGATAAAAAAGTAAATGCATATTAACCCATTAAAACGATAAACATACAACAACCCATTAAAACGATAAACATACAACAACCCATTAAAAGACGCAAATGTGCATCCGCTCATTAAAAATGTACTTCAGCCAATTAACTGTGACAGAATTTTCTGTCATCCGTATTAGAGTCACAGAAGTTCTATAATAAAAATTGCCGTCATCCTGTCAGGTATCGTATACCTTACCGCGCAAATTTATGCTTTCTATCAAGAAAATCACTGATTGGGCTCCGGTTTACTGTAATGAAATAGTTACCAAGTTACCAATTGCGAACGTAGAGAATTCAACACTCGGTTCCCTACATGTATAGCTTTGTCACAGACTAAGTTTAGGTTAGTAAATACCTATACCATTATTTGGTTTCTTCTTCTAGAGAGAAGCGAGGCTCTTTTGACCATCGTTAGAGTAGCGCGTTCGATCCCGACAAAGTGCTCCACTATGATGACTGTGTCAAACTAACCAAGCTTAGTACATAAAGGAAGGATACTGCCGCTTAATAAATAACGGAGCTTCTAAAGCGAGACAAATAAAAGTTAGCAACGTGATTTTTCTCGGGGTGGCGGGGGATGGTTACAGGAGACGAATGAATGAGAGTTTTGAAGTTCTAGGCCAAATAGTGCTACAAGTTTACTAAAAAGAGAAGAAAATTCGGATTTCAAACTAAGATAAAAAAGTAGTTGTAAAATTCATGTTTCCCACAATATATATATATATATATATATATATATATATATATATATTCTTAAAAAAAGTAAGTAATTGATCTTTTTTTTTTAATCCGAAATATTTTATTACTTTCAGTAGTTATTTTAGTGGACACCCGTATCTGAGAAGACAATCCGTTTTTTAGACAGTGTTTATTTCGTCGACTGGCCTGCGCATTCAAGATGTTGTATGGGGAACAATTTCTTTTACTTTTCGTTTTTTCGAGTCCGTAAGTCGGCAGAGAAAACAAACACTATTTACAAAACGAAGTGCTCTAATCAGATGCTAGAATTCCACTAAAAATAACGTTTGAAGTAATATATATATATATATATATATATATATATATATATATATATATATATATATATAATGCATGGTACGGGGAGGAATTAAAAAATTGAATGAATGAATATAGAAAATTATTACCTGTTGCCAAGAGAATGCAGGCGAGCAATGCTATCAGAAAGCTCATCGTGTGTTCCTTACAGATCTAACTTCTCACTCTGAGAAGAAATGTCGAAGGTAGCAAGTCTTATAAGGGAGCAGCAACGAAGCGTGCGAAGAGACAATTGGGTTGACGCAGAACAATACGTGCTCCGTGATTCGGGAAACGACAAATGGAAATTAGACAGGAAGAGCGGAAACCAGCAATTATTTGGCGGGACGGAGAGGGACGCGGTTGTTTTGTTCAAATTTGCACCTTGAAGCTTAATGGAAAGAGGATCACGGGTTATTGGTGGTGATGTACGAACGCTTTCGCAAGTTTCGGCCATTTGCCAAGATCCATGTGGAATGGTTGGTAGAAGTCGGCGGGCAGGGGTATAAGAAACAGAAAGAATAACCTCGAAAAGAAGCGGGGATGAAAAAGAAAGGCAGAAACACGTAAAGGGGATCGATGTGGAGAAGAACAGGTGGGAAGAGTAATATATAGAGAGAGACGTATAGAGAGAAAGAGTGAGTGGGCGGAGAAAGATTGTGGAAAAGAAGAAACAAAGTTGTTGAGGGAGGAGTTTTAAGGAAAGCTTGCGATTAAAGTAGTTGTGGAAGAAAAAAAAAGAACGTTAAAACAATTTAAATAAACATAGACAGAAGACGAAAAGAAAAGAGTAAATGAAGGGAAGTACTTAGGCGAAAGAGTGAGACTAAAAAAAAGAAATAGAAAAGAGTAGAAGAGTGGAAGAATCGATGAAAGAAAGAAAGAAAGAAAGAAAGAAAGAAAGAAAGAAAGAAAGAAAGAAAGAAAGAAAGACTGCAAGTGGACAAGAGCGGAAAACGTGACGATACATATATGGTGAGAGAAGTTTAAGGATAGAGAAAGAAAAAAGAGAAGGTCTCAAAAACAATGAGAGCGGTTGACAAAGCGTTTATAATTTTTGAAAAGAAATCTTTTGGACAAAAAGAGAAGATTTCCAAGACATAGAAGAGAATTATATTCAGTGAATGGTCATTGTACTTATTGACTTGGAATGCTCAGCGAGAAAAACAAAAGGTTAAAGTCACGAAGGATAAGAAAGACCTTGGGCAGCCATTTTGTCTCAAGATCTGTAAAATGTAGAACGACCGATTTGTTGGGGTAGGAGTTGGTGAATGGCTATGGTGGTGCCTTGGTTTTTGTGTTTATTCAATTAACAAGACACCTAGGGTCATATTTAGACTTTTCTCGTTATTTGGATCATGGGGATCAATTGCACACCTGCCCATAACTAAGTTGATCGCTCAAGGCTGAAACCTCTAATTTTGAACATCTACCTTGATTCCTATTTATTCGAATTTTGCACTTGTATTTTATTTATTTATTTATTTTTATTTTTTTTACTGTTTTTCAGTTTGATCCACTTTCGCATAATCTTATTTCTTACTTTCACGCTTTCATTTTTTGCGTTTTGTATTCTCATTCCTGTTTCATTGCTGCATCATCTTTCTCTCTCTCTCTCTTTCTTTCTTTCTTTCTTTCTTTCTGTTTTCCTATCTGCTTTCTGTTACGTTCCCCATTTACGTTCTTTCTTCCTTTCTTTTTTTGAAATTACATTTTCGATCTTTCTTTATTTCTTCCTTTCTGTTTTGAAATTTAAACTGTTTGCATCTTTCTTTATTTCTTCCTTTCTTTCTTTTGAGAATACAACTGTTTACATCTTTCTTTATTCCTTTCTTTCTTTTGAGATTACAACCTTTGCCATCTTTCTTTATTCCTTTCTTTCTTTTGAGATTACAACCTTTGCCATCTTTCTTTATTCCTTTCTTTCTTTTGAGAATACAACTGTTTACATCTTTCTTTATTTCTTCCTTTCTTTCTTTTGAGATTACAACCTTTGCCATCTTTCTTTATTCCTTTCTTTCTTTTGAGATTACAACCTTTGCCATCTTTCTTTATTCCTTTCTTTCTTTTGAGATTACATCTTTCTTTCTTACTTTTATTTATCTTCTCTTTATTACTTTTTCTGATTTAATTTTTCTTTCTTTAAATTATTCATTTTATTTTATACAAATTTTCTTCTCTTTTTCCTTTCAGCTTAACCTGGTAAAATCTTTAAAAGTTTCTTTTGCATTTTCATTTACCTTTTCTTATCTTTATTTTATTTATTTCTCCGCCTATCCATTCTCCAGCTTTGAGTTCAATCCTCACTAGATTCCCCATACTTTCGGCCTCGTGCCATATCTATGATACGCTTCGAAAATCAACATTCATTCTTCAGCTTTTTCTACTACCTACATACCTAATAAATCTACTTTCCTTTTCTATTTAACTTGCTTCTCATAAAATCCAAAATTCGACACCTCTAACGAAAAGAAAAAGAACAACCAAACAAAAAGAAACTATTAATTAACGAATTGAACTTACCTCCCGTTAATTTAGTCGTAACTGCCAATCATTTTCTGCAGTCCTTTGCCCTACTGATAACGGTTCACTCATAATTATTATTGACATTGACTGTAAATATTCAATTAGGAACCGAAAATAAAATAGTGACTTTAATTCGAAAAGTCAATAAAAGGCAAAGAAGTAAAAATCATAAAATCTCAGGTAAAGATATTGATTCCTATTCCTATTTGATAAATACAACTGGACATTTAGCTTGGGAAAATGCTAAGTTACGATGAACCAAATCGAATATTTTCTTTAATATGAGACATCGCGTTGTAGCTGCACTCTTTCTTTCTCTTTGTCTTTCGCACACACAAACACACACAAAGTGTATGTACACATACACATTACTTTAAAAAGAAATTTTCTCATCACTTCCCATAGCACTTTATCCTAATCTGTACAACTTTAGATTTTGCCCCAAAATTGCATATTTTAATAATTTAAAATATTGATCAGCAAAGACGCTCTCTATCTCTCTCTTTCAATATATATATGTGTGTGTGTGTTTATGTATATATAAAGACAGAGAGAGTTAGAGAGAGATGGATATATAGAGAGGCAGGTGTGCGTGGCCGAGTGGTTAACGTTCGCTGAGCATGAGGCCTGCGTTAAAATCTCAGCATGATCGATTTGTCAGAAAAGAAACTTATTGATGTTATCGGCCTGCGGAGGTGATCCGTTTTGGAAAGTACCTGCAAACAATTCCACGGGTTGACCTAAGCCTTGTGGGTGAAATTGGGTAGACGGAACTGTTTGGTGGGGGGGACGTCGATGGTTCTGATAGCCGAAACATTGTGTTTATAACAACAGAGTAGAAAACTTTTATAGTTTTTCAACTATAAAAAAAATCTATTAAATCTTTCAAGTCAAGCAGGAAATGCACGCGGAAAACCCAAACATGCATCGAGTTATAGCAAAGATTTCTCTGCTGACTGGGTTCCTTGTATATGTTTCCACCGGTCTAATTCAATCTTTATATTGAGGCGGTCCTGAGAGAATTCGTCATCATCCTTTGACCCCCCCTAGAGTTGGAACTCTATTGACAATCCCTTTATATCATATGAATTCAACAGATACACAAAAATAGAAAGGGGCGTAAACGAAGATGTTTTCTCACCGGTCTTATTTAATTTTTATAGTGAGGCGGTCCTGAGAGAATTCGTCATCATCCTTCGACCTCCCTAGTGTTGGAACTCTATTGACAATCCCTTTATATCATATGAATTCAACAAATACACAAAAATAGAAAGGGGCGTAAAACGAAGATGTTTTCTCACCGGTCTTATTTAATTTTTATAGTGAGGCGGTCCTGAGAGAATTCGTCATCATCCTTAGACCCCCCCTAGAGTTGGAACTCTATTGACAATCCCTTTCCATACTGTTCAGTCCTGTATTGCTGTCCCCAAATCCCCAATGTCCAACCCTGAGACCCGAGCCAGAAGGATGCCATATGAGTAAGGATGGGACGATTTCCCTGTCCGCTCGGTGGCATTGACTGGTAAACTGTAATCGTTTTTGTTTGAGCTTAAGAGAGATTAGTCTCAGTTCTCCGTAAATTGTGTTAAGCGTTGCATGAGATCTCCAACTAATGTTCTGGATTTTTCTAAGTAGATTTCCAGAATTAGAAATCGTACCAGGATTCATTATTGTCGGCCACAATCTTAAAACATAAAATATGCAGATGACACAGTGGTGATATCAGACACAAAAACGAAATTACAGGAACTCCTACTGAAAGCAGTAAAGGAAAGCGAGAAGAAAGGACTAAACATTAAGTGTAAGACAGAATGTATCGTTGTCATCAAAAGGAATCGCGCAAGATGCGAACTACGAAGTAGAGACATCAAAATCAAGTACAAAAAATTAAATATCTAGGAAATGTTTTAACAGGGTATCGAAATCAGTAGGTGCATTTGGATAGGGAAAGAGCCTTCCAAACGCTAAGCAAAGTATTAAGAAACAGAAAAATCTCGTTAGAAATAAAGAGTACTTAACTGCTTCATCTAAGAAGTCCCCTAAAAATTTATTACAACTAATACCAATGTTGTAAGCAAAAAAAAAAAAAAATGTCGATGTGATAGGCGTTCGTGGGAGATTGTGATAAAAGGCAAATGAAAGGAATCTTCTTCTAGCCTCATGTTCCTTCAGGACGTAGGCGATCAAAGCCTTCCACAATTTCTTGTCCTTTGTAGCTCTTATTAATTTTTTTTTCGCTATCTCTCCTAATCTCTGTTCTACCAACCATTTGCACAAGCTCGTTGGGTAGGTTATTCGCTGTATTCTTCTGTCTCTCTTGCCTTCAGTATTTCTCGTGAGTGTCAAATTTTCCAAGCCCTCTTTCCTCATTATGTGCCTTAGAAATTTCAACTGTCTCTTTCTGTCCTTTATCAGAACCATCAACAGCTTTCGAACGATTTCTTTTACCCATTTCTACTCATATACCCGTGTGTGTGTGTGTGTGTGTGTGTGTGTGTGTGTGTGTGTGTGTGTGTGTGTGTGTGTGTGTGTGTAATGAAAGCGAGATAGAGGCAGGGACCTGAAAACTCCCCAACGGTGCCGTACACCGGGATAAATCCACCATGGTAAGATTAGAACACGGATCTCATGGGTGGAAAGATAACGTTCTAACCACTCGCCCTTCATAGATAATAAACTCATTTAAAAGCATGAAAATTAAATTTCACATTTCTGTCAGAATTTCTGGGATGAGCAGTTATCATTATTTACATGCGGACTATTTTCCTCGTCTTTGTTGCTATCATCACAACGTCTCGACAATTTCAGTATGTTCGAGATACGTATATGGCACCTTCATACTCTGGCCGTACCAGGAAGCTGTAGAAATACTGCTGGGTCATTTGAACTCAATAAGACCTTCAGTCATTTAGAACTGTGCATACTATTTAGGTTCGACCCGTGAACTGGCGCTACAGAATCCCTAACAAAGAACTATACTAAATAACGAAAACCACATCATTTGAGGACTTCCAACAATAACAATGTTGTGGTGCTCTCCCTCTAAGAGTATGTTAGACACTTCTGCCTACTATAAGTTTAGTAGGAGAGTAGGAACAGGGAACAGTGAACAGTAAACGGATTGAGCGCTAGTTCATTCGATACATACTCTTCTGGTGTACTTACTGTTTAATATACGATATATCTGCAAACATGGCTTTTGTTATTACTTAACCCTTTACTTGGCCACAACAAACAACAACTAAAATGGATTCACATGTGTAACACGAAGAGAAAATAATGACATAATCAAGATGTTGATGTCCCACACTACTCCAAACAAAAGGTTGGGAAATAAGCCCAATCAGTACGGGAAAGAGCGAAAACGGTTGAGGAATTTATTTTCCTGAAAAATTGTTTAAATAGAAAGATTATAGAGATTTCAAACGAAACTGGCACTGGCTGCTCGGTCAATAAATATAAGGAAACAGTTAATAATACTATTACCAATAAAACCAAAACATCAACCTGAAAACTGGAGTTATGTTCTTAAACAGCCTCGTCAGATCGAGATTTTCATATGGATGACATGCATAGCGTCAATCCTGTTCAGAAATATCTAAAATATCAGCTGCATGCAACCATTTTTCTAAAATCAATAGTTTAAAAAAATCTTTGGGCGAGTGAAACCTGAAGGACTTTAAAAAAATCATCCTTCTTTGAACAATGTTGGACTGGCGCTACAGAATCCCAAAGAACAGTGCCAAATAATATAAACCACATCAAATGAAGACTGCCAACAGGAGGAACAACTAAAATGGATAGTTCATGTAACTCGAAGAGAAAATAATGGCATAATCAAGATGTTACCATTCCATACTACTTCAAATAAAACGTTACGAAGGAAACCCCTATCAGTACTCGAATTAGCGATATCAGTAGACGTGAAAAGCCTATTTTCTTGAAAAATTGTTTGAAGAGAAAGATTTTATAAATTTCAATCGAAAACTACTGAGTGCTTAGTCAATAAATGCCAAATATTTCCTTGTAGGGAAACGGCTAATATTGCAATTACCATAAAGACAAATGATATAAACAGAAAAATAAACATACAGGAAAATCAGATCTGATATTCCTGGTTAAGAATTTGCCAGATCGTGGACGTAGCTGTGTCAGCGGGCTACATATTGAACATGAAGGAGAGTGAGAAATTAGACAAGGCTGGACCTTCCTTAGGAGATGAGAAAAATCTGGAACATGAAAGCTACAACTGTGGTTAAATTTGCAATGACATATTTAAAAACAATATATCATTTATGGTGTAAAATCGTCTGATTATTCCAAAAATAGCATTAAAAAATGGCGGAAATCTACCGTTTATGAGATATTGACAATTTTAGTTGCATCCCGGTTACCCTCGATTATTGCGCGAAAGATTACTGACCTCGATAATTTGTCACTGGGGCATTATCTGTAATCGAGGCCTCCAGTAAATTTTCGTGCAGTAATCAAGGGTAACCGGAATCCTATTAAAATTCTTAATATCTCATGAACGGTAGATTTCCACCAATTTTTAATGCTATTTTTTTGGAAAAATCAGGTGATTTTATACCAGGAATGACACTTTTTGAAAAATTTGTCACTGGTATATTATCTTCAATTTTACCCAACTGTGTTCATAATATTAAGTACATTTGGAGCTATGCCAGAAAAAAACTGGAATCAAAACTGGACAATTTAGATATGTGAGGAAGGATAGAAACTGTACAAACCACCGTGATGCTGATGTCCGTGAGTATACCGAAAAAAGTACTGAAGATTTGATAGAACTTGTCACTAACTCATCAGCCATGAACAACAAACATCTGCTGTGAACATATAAATGCATGAATAAGAATATATACCGATTGGAGGAGTGTACTCAATTCGACCAGATGTCTACTCACCCACGACGTGATTATTAAAATGAGCAGATCTCCTAGTCAAATCGTCTCTCCAGTTGACCCCACTCTTCCTGGATATCAATCTGACTACTTATTAAATAATAATTAACGCACACAAGATCACGTATCTATTTTATTTTTATTATTAAACTTTATTTATGTACCTTTTTTAAATACCGATTAACGAAACGCTTTCTTAACAGATTATTAATAACCTAAGTTCTGCCACTTGGCTTATTTCTTTCCTATGTTTTTCTACACGAGAATTTGGCTTTCACAAGGACTCCTCCTTATCAACCGACTATAATTATAACATTACTGGTTATTAATTGGTCAGCGATAACATGAGAGTTTTTACTAAGCATTCAAAGTGAAGCAGACTAGTTGAGTGAATGGCGGGTTGTAAGGCAGTTTCATCCGTGGCTGTTTCATCTCATAGTGAGTCCCTGTATTGATGGGGGACATGTTGTTTTTTTTTTTCGGGTGTCCGGTTAAAAATTGATTTGCACATGTACATAGTAACAGTATGAGAAGATTTTGATGACTTCATCCACCAGTCAGATATTAATGGGATCAGCTGAATTTTTAAATAAAGGATAGTATTTGTTTTTTTTTTAATTTCGTTAATGAATTTTGGTCAACACCCAAACTAGAATCAAACCTAACTCGTATACACGGAGAAGGAAGAGGGTGGGAGGAAGAGGAGGAGGAGGAGGAGGGAGATCAGACCTGGTTCGTCTACAGAAAAGAAATACATATCAGACCTAGTTTGTATTGTCATGTCCATAAAGAAATGCATAAATAAAAAAAATAATAATTATACTGTCACTGTGTCGTGTCCAGAAAATAAATAAATAAAAGTGAATTATAGTGTCAAAAATAATTATAATATATAAATATATTTATTTATATATTTATATATAAATATTATAAAATAGTTATAACAATTATAACTGTCATTAATTCACTCATTCTAAACCAAAGGGAATCAATCCCACTCTTCTCCTTTACACACACAAACACGTGACACTCTCACTATCACAGGCAGTCAACACAGACAGGCCGTCAAAACGTTTATCAACGAAAATTTCGGTACATTTCCTTTTTCAGGTTATAATAGTAATTTTTTCTCTTAGCACTCAAAACAAAATTCGAAGTAAGAAAGCTCTAGACACTTTATGTATTTTCCAACTAAATTGTCTGAAAAAATGCTTACGAAAAAGACTGTATGCACTTTACTTATTCTTTATCTTCTAATTCTATCAGATTCTGATCCGTATTTGATCTACATTTGACCGAAAACTCACAATTTTACTCAGTATTATTGTCTCTCATGTCTCCAACGACACATAACAATACGATAATAAATTAATACGCGTTTTGTTGTTTCCACGTCGTGTTGTTTCTCATTTTTACGAATATTTTTTTATATATATAAATGCTTATAATTATTTACTCAGGGTTATAACTCCGCTACAGTATACAGAGATAAAGAAATTCTGTTAAATACTGAATATAGCCACATAGTGAAGTAATCAGATAAACTATACCTGGATCAAAACATTGTTCGAGATCTTTTAAAATTTTGAAGCAGACGTTTCTCATGACCTAACAGATTGACGGGTTACCATACCAAGTAAGGCAATCATAGGTTACGTGACGATATTTTCTCTCCGGGTAACTTTTTCTATTGGGTCAGATGGATTTATCAGCAATAAATGATCTCTGATTTCGGTTTGAATTCCTGCGATTATTTACATGCGAAATATTGTTCTTCTTATTCTTGTTATTATCAAAACGTTTCAATGATTGTGTCCCCGGGCCTTCTTCAGATGTCTGCTGATCCGGGTAACCATCTGGGAATTTCGAACTTTATTTAATCTACGGGGGTAGATTATTCTCGTTCTGCTGTCCATGGATACGAATATCTCCTCTTGCTTGTTCTCTTTTTAGTATTTGCTGGCTATGTTTTCCCTGAGTCTGCACTACTCGACCCAGGTATTGAAATCACAATTATTATGTCATCAAATTCCAAGCTCTTGTTTCCAGATTTCCACTTTCATTAATGTCGTCGTTGTCGTCATCAAATCGAGAAGAGTAGCTGTTATCTTTCAGCTCACTCCTGCAGCTTCCAGCTCACTCCTGCAGCTTCCAGTTCACTCCTGCAGCTTCCAGCACTCCTGCAGCTTTCAGCTCACTCCTGCAGCTTCCAGCTCACTCCTGCAGCTTCCAGCTCACTCCTGCAGTCTCCAGCTCACTCCTGCAGCTTCCAGCACTCCTACCGCTTCCAGCTCACTCCTGCAGCTTCGCTCACTCCTACCGCTTCCAGCTCACTCCTGCAGCTTCCAGCACTCCTACCGCTTCCAGCTCACTCCTGCAGCTTCCAGCACTCCTACCGCTTCCAGCTCACTCCTGCAGCTTCCAGCACTCCTACCGCTTCCAGCTCACTCCTGCAGCTTCCAGCACTCCTGAAGTTTCCAGCACTCCTGCAGTTTCCAGCTCACTCCTGCAGCTTCCAGCACTCCTGCAGTCTCCAGCTCACCCCTGCGGCGATCTACTGACGTCCCGCTACCTATTCCAGCACCCGCTGACGATCTAATCCAGTGCCCACTGACGTCCAGCGCCCGTTAACGTCCGGACACCGTTCCCGAACAAACGACCTCTGTCGTCTTACCATCCACCGTTCGCAAATAAAGACACGATTTCCATCGTCTACAACGGACCATCAGCGTTTGTCATCCTTCTTTGCTATTGCCATCTCCTTGCCTTTGTGTCCCCTCTTTTAGTTGTACGGTCGATTGGCACTCACACCTCTCGGCCCGCTGCAACAAGTGGTGACCCCGACATGATTTATGGACACAGGCAAACGGCTAGCAGAGAAGATGGCCACACAAATTAGCATATGCCAAGAAAGCGTTTGAGGAGTTGCTGGCCGACAATATCATCCGACCCTCAGACAGCCCATATGCTTCACCACTGCATCTGGTACCCAAATCCGACGGGGATTTCAGGATCTGCGTGGATTACCGGAAACTCAATGCGTCCACAGTGCTCGACCGGTATCCTGTTCCGCATATCCACGACTTTGCCTCAGGTATACAGGGGGCCCGCATTTTTTCAAAAATCGACCTGACCAAAACCTACTACCAAGTTCCAGTTGCTCCGGAGGACATCCCAAAGACAGCAGTCACAACCCCTTTTGGACTGTTTGAATTCCTAAAAATGCCCTTCGGACTGCGCAACGCAGCCCAGACGTTCCAGAGGCTGATGGACGAAGTTCTGCGTGGACTACCATACGTCTACGCATACATTGATGACATCCTAGTGGCTAGCAGAGACGCTGATCTCCACAAACAACACCTGGAGGAAGTGTTCCGCCGTCTAGTACATTACGGCCTCCGAATCAACCCAGACAAGTGCGAATTCGGTGCACAACACATAGACTTCCTCGGACACCACACAGACGCTCAGGGAATCACTCCACTTCCCGATAAGATAAAAGCCATACAGGATTTCCCGATGCCCACACCGATAAAGCAACAGCGACGCTTCTTGGGGATGGTAAATTTTTTTACCGCAGGTTTATCCCCGGATGCTCAAAACTCCTCACCCCCTGACAAATCTTCTCCAGAGAAAAAAATAAAGCCATCACCCTGGAGGGCGACCAGGAAAAATCATTCCAAGCAGCAAAAAACTTTTTAGCTAACTTTACGAAGTTAGCACATCTTAAAGAAGACACCCGGACTCAGATATATCTAACAACAGATGCCTCAGACACTGGAGTTGGAGCTGTGGTAGAACAGGAGGTTGACGACCAACGCAAACCCATCGCATTCTTCTCGGCTAAATTATCACCAGCCCAGTCCAGATACAGCACCTTCTCGAAAGAACTTTTGGCTATATACCTCGCCATCAAACACTTCCGACATCTACTGGAAGGCCGGAATTTCACCGTTTTGACCGACCACAAACCCTTGACGACTTCCCTGTCGAACAACTCGGACAAATATACGGCTCGCGAGATCAGACATCTAGACTATATCTCACAGTTCACATCTGATATTCGTTATGTCAAAGGAAAAGACAACTCTGTCGCCGATGCCCTATCCAGATTCGATGTCAACACTGTGGAAGACATCCCACTCAGCCAGGACCTGATAGAAGAAGCACAAGAATCCGACGCAACCCTCCCTGAAGTCCTAGCCAACACATCCCTGCAACTGAAAGAATTTCCGGCACCTTTCAGCAACAAAATATTGTACTGCGATACAAAACTGGATCACCCCAGACCCTACATACCTCCGGCACTCAGAAGGCAAATTTTCAACCACCTACATGGATTGTCACATCCCAGCAAGCGCGCTACGGTCAAACTCATTGCCGATCGTTTTGCGTGGCCCAACATGAATACTGACATCCGTAATTGGGTATCAACGTGCCTTAAGTGCCAGAAATGCAAGGTACACCGGCACACAAATTCCCCGCCAGGCACATTCAGCAACCCTGGCGCACGCTTCAGCCACATCCACATCGACATAGTGGGACCCCTCCCAATGTGCCAGAATTACCAGTACCTCCTCACAGTGATTGACCATTTCTCCAGGTGGCCAGTAGCAGTACCCATCAGAGATACCTCGGCTAACACGGTAGCAAAGACCATTCTTCAGGAGTGGATCGCAATTTTTGGCGTACCCAGCATCATCACCACAGACCGCGGTGCGCAGTTCCAGTCCTCACTCTTTCAGGAATTCACTCAACTGCTCGGCGTCAAACACATCAAGACCACCGCCTACCATCCCTGTGCCAACGGCCTTGTGGAAAGGTTCCACCGAACACTAAAGGCCACTCTAACTACAAAACATCCCACCAGCAACTGGGTAGACGAGCAACCCCTAATCCTTTTGTCAATCCGCAACACACTCAAAGAAGACTTAGAATGCACTCCAGCCGAAATAGTCTTCGGTACAGCACTCTCTTTACCCGGCCAATATTTCGACGACTCCATACTCGTGGGAGTCAAGTAAATACCGCCGGCCAGGGAGCAGGAAGCCTTCCTGATTCGCGACTTTGACGCGCCCAGTCAAGTCGACCAAGCCCAGCAGCTGACGGGACCCAGCAGCAGTAGCAGCAGTTGTTCAAACAGTCCTTTTCAGGGCTAACTTCCGAAAGTCATTCGATCACCACTCTTCAAGGCTCCGCTCACTCCACTCTTTGCTACTGCCTTCCCTCTGAGACGCCAGCTCACTCCTGCAGCTTCCAGCACTCCTGCAGCTTTCAGCTCACTCCTGCAGCTTCCAGCACTCCTGCAGCTTCCAGCTCACTCCTGCAGCTTCCAGCACTCCTGCAGCTTTCAGCTCACTCCTGCAGCTTCCAGCACTCCTGCAGCTTTCAGCTCACTCCTGCAGCTTCCAGCTCACTCCTGCAGCTTCCAGCTCACTCCTGCAGTCTCCAGCTCACTCCTGCAGCTTTCAGCTCACTCCTGCAGCTTCCAGCTCACTTCTGCAGCTTCCAGCGCTCCTGCAGCTTTCAGCTCACTCCCCAGCCCAGCACCCCTGCAGCTCACTCCTGCAGCTTCCATCTCACCCCTGCAGCTTCCAGCTCACCCTGCAGTCTCTAGCTCACTCCTGCAGCTTCCAGCACTCCTGCAGCTTTCAGCTCACTCCCTGCAGCCCAGCACCCTGCAGCTTTCAGCCACTCCTGCAGCTTCCAGCTCACTCCTGCAGTCTCCAGCTCACCCCTGCAGCTTCCAGCACTCCTGCAGCTTTCAGCTCACGCCTGCAGCTTCCAGCTCACTCCTGCAGCTTCCAGCTCACTCCTGCAGCCCAGCACTCCTGCAGCTTTTCAGCTCACCCCTGCAGCCCAGCTCACCCTGCAGCTTCCAGTTCACCCCTGCAGTCTCCAGCTCACCCTGCAGCTTCCAGCACTCCTACCACTTCCAGCTCACTCCCTGCAGCTTCTGCTCACTCCTAACGCTTCCAGCTCACCCCCAGCTTCCAGCACCCCACCGCTTCCAGCTCACCCTGCAGCTTCCAGCACTCCCACCGCTTCCAGCTCACTCCTGCAGCTTCCAGCACTCCTGCAGCTTTCAGCTCACCCTGCAGCTTCCAGCACCCCTGCAGCTTTCAGCTCACTCCTGCAGCTCCAGCACTCCTGCAGCTTTCAGCTCACTCCTGCAGCTTCCAGCACTCCTGCAGCTTTCAGCTCACTCCTGCAGCTTCCAGCTCACTCCTGCAGCTTCCAGCTCACTCCTGCAGTCTCCAGCTCACACCCTGCAGCTTCCAGCACTCCTGCAGCTTCAGCTCACTCCCTGCAGCTTCCAGCTCACCCTGCAGCTTCCAGCTCACTCCTGCAGTCTCCAGCTCACCCCTGCAGCTTTCAGCTCACCCTGCAGCTTCCAGCTCACTCCTGCAGCTTCCAGCTCACTCCTGCAGTCTCCAGCTCACCCTGCAGCTTCCAGCACTCCTGCAGCTTTCAGCTCACTCCTGCAGCTTTCAGCTCCACTCCCAGCTTCCAGCACCCTGCAGCTTTCAGCTCCCCTGCAGCTTCCAGCACCCCTGCAGCTTCCAGCTCACTCCTGCAGCTTCCAGCTCACTCCTGCAGTCTCCAGCTCACTCCTGCAGCCCAGCACTCCTGCAGCTTTCAGCTCACTCCTGCAGCTTTCAGCACACTCCTGCAGCTTCCAGCTCACTCCTGCAGCTTCCAGTTCACTCCTGCAGTCTCCAGCTCACTCCTGCAGCTTCCAGCACTCCTACCGCTTCCAGCTCACTCCTGCAGCTTCGCTCACTCCTACCGCTTCCAGCTCACTCCTGCAGCTTCCAGCACTCCTACCGCTTCCAGCTCACTCCTGCAGCTTCCAGCACTCCTACCGCTTCCAGCTCACTCCTGCAGCTTCCAGCACTCCTGCAGCTTCCAGCTCACTCCTGCAGCTTCCAGCACTCCCTACCGCTTCCAGCTCACCCCTGCAGCTTCCAGCACTCCTGCAGTTTCCAGCACTCCTGCAGTTTCCAGCTCACTCCTGCAGCACTCCTGCAGTCTCCAGCTCACCCCCTGCGGCGATCTACTGACGTCCCGCTACCTATTCCAGCACCCGCTGACGATCTAATCCAGTGCCCACTGACGTCCAGCGCCCGTTAACGTCCGGACACCGTTCCCGAACAAACGACCTCTGTCGTCTTACCATCCACCGTTCGCAAATAAAGACACGATTTCCATCGTCTACAACGGACCATCAGCGTTTGTCATCCTTCTTTGCTATTGCCATCTCCTTGCCTTTGTGTCCCCTCTTTTAGTTGTACGGTCGATTGGCACTCACACCTCTCGGCCCGCTGCAACACGTATCCGACATGAATTCGAACTCATCTGATTTATCATTCCGAGCCGCTATTACACCATCCGCACATCTATGGAAGAAAGAAGTGAATTCGAAAGAACGATAAAACTAGAGGTGAAAAAAAAAATCCAAAATGGGAATAATTTGAAGATTAATAAAAAAAAATATATAAAAATTGAAGTAACGGACAGAATGAGAAAAGAATCCAGAAAAAAGAAGCGATAAAAAGAGTAAAAAAGGAAGAAGAAATTTAAAAAAAAATAAATAAATGATAGAAAGAAAGAAACGCCAGGAGGTGAAGGACGGGATTGAGATTTCCATGTACCCTAAAAGAAATAAATTCATTCAAAAGAAAGTGCACATGCCCTGGCCAAAGGATTTCAAATCAGACGGACATTTTACTAAACGGAGAAGTAAAAGCCATGTCACCGGTTGATAGACAGTATGAATAGCGATAAAGACGTCTGCTAAGTTAACAACCACCACAGAAACCGAAAATAATTACTACTAAATACAAATACTAGTAATACTAGCATTAACTACTTCTATTAATACTATTTGACAAAAAAAAAGTAACCTTTTTTTAGAAAATACCATTGCTAAACATCTTTGGCAGAGTCTAAGAAGATTGTTACTGTTAGTGTAAGCAACTTGAGAGGGCATTATTTCGCTTAAATGGCAAGTTGGACATTTTTTTTACGAAGACAACCTAATTGCGTAGAAATGTGATTTTAATGTGTTAATATCTATTATTCGCGTTAATATAGACAATACGTTTTAAAAATATTTTCTTGTATTTTTTTTACCACTCTTCTCTCATAATAATTTGGCCACCACACGGTTGTCTGTTTTTCTTCGAGCGAAATTTTATCTATTTCTAGTTTACAACCGAGTTTCAAATAGACGGGGCGAATGGACAGCATTTTAAACAGATAGCTACACGAGCCCACTTTCATGGCTAAAACGGAAAGAATTCTTCGACTGTCGTTAAATGCCAGACATATCATAGAACTGTGAAACCGGTAAAGTTATTCTTATAATTGAATATAGCAATATTAATATGGGAATATATAATATTCATATATATATATATATATATATATATATATATATATATATATATATATATATATATATATATATATATATATATATTATATTTATTTATATTTTATATATATATATAAATTAGAGCGAGTGGGAAATAAATTGATGAATTGAAAGGAGAAAGACAGAAATAGAACAAAAAAAAAATTATATTTGCTTATCATACTGTCCACTGGAAATACAAACCTGAATTCATTTTACATGGAGGACTGCATGCTTATCCGAAGATACAGGAATCTACTAGTCTCCGCGTATTCCTACAAGAACAGATAAGATTTTCTAACGAACTGTATATATGAAAAATCTTTCCATCGGAATCAAATTTATAAAATTTTTAAGAATACGTTGTGAAAGCGTCGCCCATTTGACGACAACGTGACCACGCTCAAACGGAAAGCTGATCATTTAAAATTTTCATTTATCTGTTTTGGATAAGACTTGTTTTTATGACCATCGTTTTCGTCGTGTTATACTGATTATGTTAATTGTATTTTTAATGAATATTGTCCTGAAGAAGGTTATTAAACCGGAACGTCAGACGTCGACATTTCATTCATATTAAAACAACATAATCGCATTTTAAGGATTTTTGTTTTGTTTTTTCCAGATATTTTCTTCATATATATATATATATACATACATACATAAAATATATCTATATATATACATACATAAAATATATCTTTATAAATAAATTCCCAAGAGGATAGAATCCAGGTAGAACTCAATGCCCAAGACAGAGTAAGAATATATATATATATATATATATATATATATATATATATATATATATATATATATATATATATATATATATATAATATTTATATATATATATATGAATATAACAATATTCATATATGTATATATGAATATAAGAAAATTCACATATATATATATATTTTTAGTATAAAATATTCATATGTATATGAATATAAGAATATTCATATATATATGAATATAAGAATATTCATATATATATATATATATATATATATATGAATATAGCAATATATATATAAATGAATATAACAATATATATATATATATATATATATAAATATAACAATAATATATATATATATATAAATATAACAATATTTATATAATAATATATATATATGAATATAACAATATATACATATATGAATATAACTATATATACATGAATATCACAATATTCATATATATTTTATATATGATTATAACAATATTCATATATATATATTTATATATATGAATATTCATATATATGAATATAACAATATATATATATATATATATATATATATATATATATATCAATATAACAATATATATATGCATGAATATAACAAGATATATATGAATATAACTATATTTATATATAATTATAACAATATTCATATATATATATTTATATATATGAATATTCATATATATGAATATAACAATATATATATATATATATATATTTCATCCACAGATAGACTGTTTCGCTGTATCACAGATCATCAATGTGACTAGACGTCCGTTTGACTTTAGCTGGGATTGAAACCCGGGTGAATTGTCGTCAGTCGGAGAATCTACCCCTAAGCTGTTGGCGCACGCCAGGGATGAAGTTGAATTTAAGTGTATTTATTTTGAGATAAACACGCCAATGACTGAGAGAACTCGATTAGTTTTATCGAAGAATATTGCATTAGTAGCAGTAATAGCCACTGTTTATGAACTCACACGTCTTCGCCCGAGAGCTCAACCGAAATAATTTTTCAGGAGCATATATTGTATATATGTATATTATTATATATTATATATATTATTATGTATTATTATGTATTATCTCCACCCTGCAAACTTTATCCCACTGGCGAAGCCTCTCACTACTCTATCTCCTTTACTATGCCAGATGAGTTACGTGAAGGCACTATTGCCACTAATATCCTACCATTATGCAAAAGGTAATTCTGGGAGGTATTTCTGCCGCACCCTATACTTTCTTTAAAACGAATGAAATATAATTTGAAATTAGTAAAACTACTTTAAAAAACATTATTTTTTTTTAATAATGGTAATAATGAGAATAGCCGTTTCCGCATAAAGAAACATTCGGCATCCATTGTCTGAATAGTTAGCGTTGTTGTTAATTGAAATTTATGATATCTTTTCATTAAAAGAGTTTTTCAGGAAATTAGATTTCTCAAGTCTACAGTTATCGTCATTTCTAATACGAGGGTCATTCAATAAATAAGGTGAATTTTTCGGTATAAAGACTTCTAATACAGATAGAAGCTTACTTTTTTTTCTTTTTTTTTTTTTTTTACTTCTTTTTCACATGGATCTAATTTCTTTTGCAGATTAAAAAAAAACTTTGAGAGTTTTGGCGATTAACAAAGATGGCCGCCCAAGAAGCATGCTCCAGGATTGAACAGCGGTCAGTTATCAAGTTTTTGGTTGCTGAAGGGTGCAAACCAGTTGAAATTCATAAGAGAATGTCAACTGTGTATGGTGCCACATGTTTCAGCTAAAAAAATGTCTACAAGTGGGCTAAATTGTTTAAAGAAGGACAGAGCAGTGTTGAGGATGAAGACAGGCCTGGGAGGCCTAAGGAAGTGAGGTCTCCTGAGGTGATCGAATCAGTCAATGACCTCATTCAGTCTGACAGAAGAACTACTGTGAACTGCTGAGGCAGGTCAAGAAAGACATAAAGAATAAATGCTGGGGTCATCCATCAGAAGGAGTCATCTTGCATCATGACAACGCAAGGCCTCACACAGCAGCCCAAACGGTGCAGACCATCAAAGAGCTGGGCTGGGAACTGCTCCCTCATCCCCGTTACAGCCCAGACCTTGCCCCTTCAGACTTTCACCTGTTTGGTCTCTTGAAAGCATTCACGAGAGGCACGAAGTTTAAAAGTGACGATGAAGTCAAAAGTGTTGTGAGCGACTGGCTGAGTCATCAGTCCAAAGATTTTTACGCTGAGGGAATACGGAAGCTTGTGCACAGATGGGAGAAGTGTGTGACAGTGCTGGGAGACTACGTTGAAAAAAAGTAAGCTTCTATCTGTATTAGAAGTCCTTATACCGAAAAATTCACCTTATTTATTGAATGACCCTCGTAGTAACGTGATTTTCCCCCTAAATCTTTTGTTTCAAGCAGAGTGGAAAGTTTTGATTATTCCTTTCTCTTCTCGTTACAGGTGTTATTTAGCTCTTGTTGCTTCTGAAAGGCTAGAAGTGATACGGTTTTGTTATTTGGTAAAGCTCATATTTGTCATTTTATACCGCTAGTCTGATGAAAGATTATTTTCTTTGAGATCTAACGAATTAATTTGCTTGAAGCCATTTTTAATCACTGATCCTAGAAAACAGTTCTATACAGATAATAATTTCAACATTTCTGAACGAGTTGGACGAGATTCAAGATCTAAGAAGACTATTTAAGAACATGATTCCCGTTTTTAAGATCAGTATCTGGGCTTTGTTGCATCTTCCGGTGTTGTACAAAAGGACATCTAGCGCAACCTATTCTTTGTTCGATTACCTTATCTCGTAATTGGTTTTTAAGCATTTCACCCCAAGCGAGACGAAAGAGGTTACCGGGAGTGAAAGAGAATAAGAAGACCTTAGTGAAGAGAATGGAAAATAA